ATTTCGAAGCTATGTACAATTATTTACATGCGACGTTACGCCGTTGGCGCGTGGTCGCGTTTTTGCTCTCGTCGGGAGCCGATGTTGTCGTTTTGCGATCAGCTGCGAGCGTCGAGGCGCGCGAGCGTCCGGCGGGACGCGGTCGGGAATGTTTCCTGATCTGCTATTGTTCGTCGTTCGGAGTTCGTTGCCTCGTCGTCTTTAAGCTATTTATTTACCCTGGTTTTAACCTAGCTGGTTTAAAGGCGCTCGTTGTCACCAGTATCCTACGCCTTGTATGCGTTCGCGATCGTAGGTATTAGCGGCGTGGCGTGAGGAGGAAAGGATGTCGACATCGCGTATCCACTTTGGTCGGCAGAGCGGTATCGCAGAAAAGATGTTGACGTCGCGTATCCACTTCGGTCGACGGAGCGGTGTGTGGATAGGAAGCCGACGTCGCGTATCCACTTCGGTCGACGGAGCGGTGTATGGATAAAAAGCCGACGTCGCGTATCCACTTCGGTCGGCAGAGCGGTATCGGAGAAAGGATGTCGACGTCGCGTATCCACTTCGGTCGACGGAATGTCTAGGATCTCTAGGAATTTCGAGTTCTGGTCGGTCGTGCGCCTGAGAGGAGCTTTCCGATCAATCTCTCCCGATCTCGTTTTGTAACGGCCTTTTATACTAAATTATAACAAACAGTAAAGCTGTTTGTTAACCTTGCGGTTATCCCGCGCGCGGTTGTTCGGCGTTTCTTTGTTAGTCTTGTAAATAACATCTTTAATTGTCGTGACGTTCTCCCGGATCGTCACAAATTTTTTTGGAAAAATTTAAACTTTTTTTTTGCAATGCAGTATTTTTTATAAATTTCATGCAATCGACTTCATTCTAGTACCAGACATGGCGGCACTCATATAATTAATAAAAATTATCGGTTCTTTTATTTCAGATAATTTGCAGAAGCTGAATCACTTCCGCCATGGAGGCGTGTTTTTCTGATGACCGCTAATTCGATCGCCATTTGGAGGCATTAAAACGCATCTTTTTATAAATGTTAAGGATCGGATCGAAGAAAAGTGCGGCTGCTCATACGTCGCGCATGTACGCATCAGAGTCGGACATCGTGATGCTCCGACCCTGAGCGCGTGTCGCGAGACGTCGCGTTACGCGCAGCGATCTCCCTCTCCAACACTTCGATAACTGTCTCTTTGTCGATCGATATAATCTCGCGTCTTTGTTAATTCGGGCATTACCGTTGTAAGTAATATTCAAATCGTGACCTCTAATTTCGGACGCCGTAAATTTTCTCCGACATTCGCCGATACCTCGTCATATCATCCGTCTGTACACTCGGTTGCCGAGTCACTCGGGTCATTTTTGATTGAAGTGTAGTAAGTTCTCTGCACTCTGGACCGTATCAGTTCCGGCCGACTCGCTAACGATTGTAGCGTCTCATCGGCGAACTCATTCAGCGCTCTAAGGACAGCGTGCGACGTATCGAGGGTCGACGACAAGATTCAATATACTTGTCATCGAAAGGAACACGAATGCATCTACCTACGCCCAGCTAGTTCTCTCGGACATCGCATTCTCATCACACGAACGAATTGGGCTTTCAGCCTTTCTTTATTGTTCTGGCGCCGAGGTACACGTCATCTTGTAGGCCAATGTGACGATTGTTTACTTGTCTTTGTAAGAGAATTCAAGGAGGCATTAAATGTTATTTACAGAAAACGGTTCACTATCCAACATCCACTCAAATCAAATCGTTCTGTTTCTCTCGTCTCCGTTTCTCAATTCTCCTATTCAACGTCGATACTCCGATACTCCGTCGTATCTCCCGCCTCCTACCTACCGCCTTCGCGCTCTTTTTAGAGCGGTCCAGAAATTGTGTTCTCTTCAAGAAAATTCCTTCGTGAATTCTCGCATAAAACAATAAATAAAAAAATTTTTTTTGGAGTGTAAATGTTAAACAATTCCATGAAAAAACTACATCTTCCTATATATATATATATATATATATATATATATATATATATATATATATAATAGATTTTCTTTTAAAAATTCGTAAAAATAGGCTATTTTTACGGCCGGCGAATGTAAAAACCCCCTTAATAGCAACCATGTTGAGAACACCGTAAAAGATAGTCATAGGCCAACGGTTTGAATTTCTAAACATATCATAAGTGGCACTCAATTCATCAGCCACATCAACTTCCGCTTGAGTTGTAAAATGTAATTATTTCAGGCTTCTTCTTTTCCCCAGTAGACACATCAATGCTTTGATCATGGTGCAAAGTAAACATAGCGAATACCACTTTATTTTTTTGGTGTTATATGATACTAAGGTGACATCTTTTTTAAACCCAAACCATGAATTAGATACCTCCCGATCAGCTTTCTTGAAAATTTCGGGTACTTGAGTTTTATTTTTGCGAAAAGTACCTACAGATGTTAACTTGTGTTCATTCAATAAATGCATCATGAGTGGGTAACTAGAAAACCAATTATCGAATTCCTGTTCGTTCGAGATATAGATCAATAATACGCTCAACGACGTCAAATGTTTTCTTGCTGAAAGCGAATGGTCCAGATGGTTGCATAAACCTCTAACTTCAAGATATAAAATGTTTTGGAATCAACGAATTATCTTGATCCCATATTTTTCAAGCTTACTAGGGAAGTATACCCGAAAACTACATCTTCCGCGGAAGGCCAAAAGCATTTCATCTATTGTAAAATATTCATTTGGAATATACGCAGTTTCACAATTTTGAACGAACTCAGTGAATACTTTTTTTACAGCTGCCAAATTATCAGTCTTTTTTCTCTCCGATCGTCTTTTTACTATCAAATCTCAAAGAGTTTTGTAAAAAATAAAAACGATGCAGTGATATAGTTGCTCTAAATATTTTTACTTCTGTTCCGTTTGTACGCCAAAGATCATTTAGATTTTGCCTTCCGGATCGACTAAGACCAGCAATATAAAAAGCAAACCAATGAAGGTTTTCGATTCATTCAGATTGGTTTCTTTCATGTGATATGTATTTGTCTGAGATGATGTACCTTGTTTTAGTCTTATTTCCACATTTGTGTGAATCAAAATATTTTGTAACATCTAAAATAAACAATTCTCAACAATTCCCTCTAATTCTGATTTAGCGTCTTTAACGTCAATACCCGTGGGACCAGATCGACCACTAATAATATTTTTAACTCGAGTTCGAACATTCGTTCGAAGACATACTTTAGACCATTTGGTGCCATTTTTAGAAGTATAGAAAGATTTATGAACCTCTACTGATGTTTGAGCCTGATTTGCATCTACTTCAATCGTACAATTTCTGTTCTCAATTTTATTAGACTGCTTTTGTTCGGTATCACTCTCTTCACTTCATTGTGAAACATTGTCCACTTCATTCTCGCTTGCAATATCCTCAGGTTTATCGTCCGAACACTCTTCCAATAAGACCTGAATATGTCTAACCTTTCTCTCATACAACATATTGAACTTTATTATGAAAATAATAATAATAATAATAATAAGTAAAACAACAAAAACAACAAAATTTACATTAGCATAAAATATCGACGGGTAGGTCAGGTGTAACATACCCCGACGCTCTTTATGCATGTGTATCTAACCATTAATCAACAAATTTGTTTGACCCATTCCATAGAAGTCTTTGTTTCATTCAACGAAATCGTTCTCTCTGTTTAACAAACGAAGCAGCAAAGAAAAAATAATAAATAATAAAAATAAAATTTAAAATAATTAAGAAATGAAAAATAAAATTAAGATTTATACAAAAACACTTGGCGTGCC